TTATAAAAACTTGGAGACAAGGTGTGATGTGTTAATTAAGTTTGTGGTGCGGTTTCAGTGTCTTTGGATATCTAGCCATTTAAATAAATCATTTACTTTCAAAAGCTCAGTTTTGACGTTTTGAAAGCTCTCACTAACTGTACTAGATCATTTGAATATGCCACATTATGGTAAGACGCCACAATATAATATCACTGAAGTGTACCACGGTTTATGCAGACTATCGTAATTATAAGGGTTTACACTGAAATTGGAACTGATTGAAAAGATTTTCTAATACAAAAAGTGAAAATATTTTCTAATACAAAAAGTGATACAAAAATCGAAAAGATTGCAGGGAAAACCTTGCATTGAAAATACAAACCATCCAGGTCCAAATCCAACTAAAGACTCTCGGAAAAGAAGGTAGAAAGCGGAAAGAAATCATGACTCTAGGAAACTTGAAGAATTATATGGAAAAAAAGCAGAAAACTGCGAGTATAGTTGCAATATCTGGACAATGATTGATTTTTTAAAACTGATTTATATACATTAGGAGAGGGATTGGTTTTTAGCACATGACAAACAATGCGGTTACTTTTTTGTTTTTCCATTTTGCCATTATTGTATTCATCCGTCAAACTGATAACTTGTACTATTATTATAAACTGACAACCAAGAGTACATCCCTTTTTTTTTATTAAAGTGGTCCTTCGTCGATTCTGATTATCAGGTTGTCACATTCATGGAATATTAAAATTGGCCATTATCAGTTAATATTCTCCGGTTTTGTCATGAGTGCAGGATTCAATGAAGCCCAGTATCGATTATTTCTGAGCGCATATAATGGCATTATGCTTCAAATGCAATTCAAAATGTCCTCTAGCTATTCCTTTGTCCCTTCGTCTACATATTTCCCCCCTGTGACAGCGAGGTGATAGAAACTCACAAGAAAAACTCTGCTCTTAAGCCAGGCAATCAACCATCTGTGGAGTTTTGTGCAGCGAATTGCCTCAGCTACATTTAAGAAATACAGATAGCTACTGAAAGATATAAAATTTATTTCACTTCCTCTATTTTGTTTTGCTTTTTTTTTATTCAGTTCTTTTTGGTTGATATTATTATTCTTTCCCCTGGTATTGCAGATTCCGCACCTGACAGCCTAATTT